GCAAAATCAGATCTAGCTAATTCCTTTGCAAACCCACATAATTAAAGTATAGAATTCTCCATCTCCCTATTAGTGCAGATCACATTGTCCAATTGAGTGTCATTGTATTGTTATGAGAAAAAGTTTTTGGTTTTGGCAAACAACGAGCTGAAATGTCTTTGGCTCTCATGGATCATCATCTTGATGTCTGAAGCCTACATTCCATCTCACCCTTCCTTTCCTCCTGGTTCATTGGCATGCTGAGAAACAATAATAGTTGCAACAGGATAAGCGCGCTTTGAACTTGGCACATACTTTTGGCTTGTGAAATTGTAATCAAAATTAAAGCTAGAAATTGCCTATACTAAATACCATAAATACTAACACAGGAGAGAAAGGATCAGGTGGCGGTAAAAAGCCACCACTAAGAATATGGCAATATGAAATAGTAACTTACCTGACCATTTGAGACAAAATTGAGATAGAATTAAGGAGAAGTTTCTTGACTGGAGATTTAATGCACCAATTTTATTGATTTAAAACAAAAAGGGGAAATTTGGCCATAGGAAAATAAGAAAATAAATGGTTTGGGAGCTATATATATGAGAGACAATTATTACCTAAAACAGTGTTTGTAAACCTGGACAGCTTTGAGATGTGTGGGCTTCAATTCTCTTGAGGAATTATGAGAGTTGAAATCCGCACACCTTAAAGTTGCCACAGTTGAGAAACATTGCCCTAATATGTAGAAAAACCCTTTGAACTCCTTTTTAGAGAAGTGGAATGTGTAGATCAGGTTTAGCATAAAATCCAAATGGATTTTTACTGGCTGAAATCAATGCAGTCTGGTTAATTAATTAACAGTTAAATTGCTTTGGGCATAGTTAGGAAAAGACAGCTTTAATAATTTACTTATGGAAATGAGATTTTTAATAGCAATAGCTTATTTTAGTAATTTTATAATGTACCCGTTTAATCAACTTTACTTTGATTTTATAGTTGATATTTTTTATTCAGATAATTGTGTAAAGTGCCATTTTCTCTTCACTTTTTTAAAATAATCAGCACATCGACACAGCTTGTCACAGAAGTTAGCTAGACAGGATTTAAGAGAGAAGTAAAAGCATGTTGCAATTGTCTTATCTGTGAACAAACATTGATACCGTATTTTCCGGCGTATAAGACGACTGGGCCTATAAGACGACCCCTGACTTTTCCTGTTAAAATATAAGGTTTGGGCTATACTCACCGTATAAGACTACCCCTCTTCCAACGCACACCAAATAAAAATTAAAAAACATCAACTGGCTCACCCACAATGTTAAAGCAGATGTGCTAGACCCAAAATGGCCCCTGCAACAAGCAGGAACCTCACACAGCCACAAAAAACCCAAAAAAACAACTTTCACACTTTACACACACACAACACAACACAACACAACTGGCTCACCCACAATGTAAAAGCAGCTGTGCTAGACCCAAAATGGCCCCTGCAACAAGCAGGAACCTCACACAGCCACAAAAAGCCCAAAACCCAACTTTCACACTTTACACACACAAAATTCCACATACAGTTTTGTGAGATTTTGTGTGTTTGTGTAGTTAGAGTGAAACACTACAGAAACACACTAAATCTCAGAAACTGGCACAAATATTATTTTATTTTATTTTTATTTTTATATGAAAGCTAAATTTAAAACTTCCTAAACTTTAAATGGCTAGGTCTAAAAATGAACAACTAAAAAAAAACCCCAATTAACTATTTTTTTTAAAGCTCCCAAAGGGGAAAAAAACTTACGCAATAGAACAGGGGTCTCCAACCTTGGCAACTTTAAGACTTGTAGACTTCAACTCCCAGAATTCCTCAGCCAGCTTTGCTTTGCTGGCTGAGGAATTCTGGGAGTTGAAGTCCACAACTCCCTGCCTGCTTGATTGCAGGCAGGGAGTTGCTTGCTGATGGAATGGATTCAGGCAAGCGAAGCAAGGCAAGCGTTGCAACTAGCAGCTAAGGTAAGCAAGCTGGAGGGGGAAAATTTTCTTTTTACATGGCTCTGGCGATCCAAGCTGAGTTGCCTGATTAGCAGGCAACTCAGCTGGTATCGTCAGAGCTTGGATCGCCAGAGCCATGTAAAAGAAAAAAAGTTTTTTCCTTTTAAATGGCTCTGGCGATCCCAGCTGAGTTACCTGATTAGCAGGCAACTCAGCTGGGATCGTCAGAGCTTGGATCCGCCAGAGCCATGTAAAAGAAAAAAAGTTTTTTTCCTTTTAAATGGCAATCCCAGCTGGCGATCCCAGCTGAGTTGCCTGATTAGCAGGCAACTCAGCTGGGATGGTCAGAGCTTGGCTCGTCAGAGCCTTTCGGGTTGGTCTGCCTGGTTACAGGAGAACGACACCCGGCGTATAAGACGACCCCTGACTTTGAGAAGATTTTCATGTGTTAAAAAGTTGTCTTATACGCCGGAAAATACGGTACTTTGGAAACAAAGAAACACTGTGGCACTTGATATCTCCTTTTTGTTAATTACATTATCAAAAAAAAATCCCTAATATACATTACATGCTGACTTACCAGCTTTTACAAACTTTCACGGTCTAGGCCAGCCATTTTCTTGACTCATTCATTATAGTTCTAAGCCATGGTGCATAATTTAGGTTTATATGTCACTTGCTCCTTTCTACATGTTGAACAAATCATGATTGCAACAAACCATGATTTAGTACGTTGTATGGATCCAGCCAGTTAGTTGCCGCATTTCCCACTGAACTCGGTTGATTCTCTTCATTATTAAGCTGGTCCACTGATTTCAGTCAGATGAAGGAACCAGGTTTTCTGAGTTTCTGATCAAGAAGCTGATAAGCCTTCTCCAATCCTGCCCACTCCCATCCAGACTTTATAAAGTGGCCATAATTCTAATCCGTGTGATTCACTGTTCCCTCCAACTATTGCTGGCCCCTGTAGCATAATTTGGTGCCCTTCAAATGTGTTAAACATCAAACTTCATTATTCTTTTTCTATTTAGAAATTGCAGAAGTCCAAAATATGCGAATGATATGAAAAGACTAAAACAGATGGTATTTTCTTTTTCAGTAACTGTCTTTCTGACAACCAGTATCCATTCCAATATTTCCTTTTCAAAGATAGTTTAATACTGTATCATATCTGGCGGTAAGGGAGGAAAGTGATGAAGACCATTATCAGTGGTAGTCCTAACATTTGTTCCACCATCCTGGTTACAAATCTAGGTTCAAATAGCTTGATTTCAATCCAGCCTAATTACTGTAAATATTACATACCGGTAGATATGAAGATGCTTTAAAAGCACTCTCTCAAATAATAAAAAAGTTTTGCCAAAACCATAATTTAAGTGTATCTCTAAGAATTTCTAGTCAGTCCAAATTTCTATACAGTGCAGATTGTGTGTTTGTTCCTTTATTCAGTTATACAGTGATCAAGCACAACTTAATAAATATATGCTAAATTCTATGGGGCTTTTTTTCAAGTGAGATATAATATATCTGGATAACTGATGCTTGTTTATACTATAAATTGTCTCTAAAGTGTTTTTAAAATCTGATATTTCAAGACTACAAAAATATGATAAATAAGTAAGTATATACCGGTAATACATTGCTCAGAAATAAATTACATATCTAAACATAAGTTCTGTTGAATTCAGCAGATTTATTTCTGAGTAAGCATGCACAGATTATAATGTAATGAGTGTTATAATTGTTCAATGGGATTTTTCTTTGGTCCTTAAGCTTCTGCCACTCTGCCAGTCTTGTGACAATCAAATTGTTTCCATTTTGCAATGGAGTTTTGCAAAAACATACCATCTCATTAACACTATGGTTGGGTTTTTATTAATGTCTCACTTAACAACATAAATTTTGGGCTCAATTGTGATAGTAAGTCAAGGACTACCTGTATTCACACTCAAAGCAAAGTGCAAGTATTTTTCTGCTCTTTCAAAAGGAGTTTCACAGAAGTAGAGCCCACATTAATTTGAAATGAGAAAGATAGTAAAAATGCTTTCAATGTTTGAGTAATGTATCCATAGCCACAATAAGAGACAATGGTCCTATTTCTATCTTGATTTGATTTTTTATCAGAGGGCAATGGGAAGCAGAAATAATGACTTTTGGCCCTCTCTTGTTACATTGGCTACCTCTAATCCAGTGTTTTGCAATCTTGGCAACTTTAAGGTGTGTGGATTTCAGCTCCCAGAATTCCCTGACCAGCCTACTTCCTGAGGAATTATGGGAACTGAATTCACACATCTTAAAGTCATTGAGATTGAGAAACACATATGGTTTACCACAAACTCACCTAATGTGGATTGTTTATTTTTTCCAATTCAGTTTATCTTTGGCTGACTATTTTAAAAGACTCTCATAATTTGAAAACAAAGGAGACTCAATTTCTTACCTGGATCCATCAGGTCCTTCTTGGCACTGATATGATAGATGCAGGGTTAGAGTTGTAAAAGTTTATATTGGGCTGACATATCCATTTTACAGTAATTCTATACATATATAAGTGGTCATATGTCACATTGAAACTCAAAGATTCTTCTTTTTTCCCTGCTGGTTTTTTTGCTGAAACAAATAAGTACAAAAATAAAAACAAATCACATAGTCAGTTTTGGATAAAAGAAGGTCGATGTGGCTATAAGTATACCTTCTTTCATAAAAGTGTCCATGAGTAAAGTATTATATGAGCACTTTAAGAGCAGAAATTGTTTGCTGGTATGTGCCATCTATTTATCAGTCTGTAATGTAACATGTATTTTTGTTTAGAGAGCAAAGCTAAAATTAGAGTGAATCTGTTTGGAGCAGCTGTTTCAAAGAATATTTTTAAACATTATCTGAGGTCCTTCCTTCTTGTACAAAAACTGAAGAATTTATCAAGGATGGAGGGAGCGAGATGGAGATTAGCCATTATTCCCATACAACAACATAATGAATTTTAGAGGACTGTTATAACCATAACTGTTTTTGCTCTTACTTTATTTTTTTAGGTCTTTGCTCCATTATGATAAAGAAGACTGAGAATGCATTCTTCTTCCTTAGCGTTTACCACCTGCCTACTTCCAAGATCTGGGTCCAGAATGAACATAGCAGCAGTGTTTAACTCCTTGCTAGTATGTGTCCTTGCTGCTGTGCTGTGGAACTATATCAAGCTGCATGATCATGTCTTTGTGCTGGAAGAGGAGTTAGTCCTCATGCGTCAGTCCCAGGAAATCTCTCAGTTCAGCATTGACTATCATGTCGCACTTCAAGCTCTGGTAGAAGATGGCACCAAAATGGTGTGCACTGGCAGGATGCACACTGACCGTATATGCCGTTTTGAGTCTCTCTGTTATTCCACTGAAGCTGAGGAATTCGTCTTCTTCCATAGCAGTTCTTCTGTCATGCTTCCAAACTTGGGCTCCAGAAGATTTCAGCCTGCCCTACTTGATCTCTCCTCAGTGGAGGACCATAATACCCAGTACTTCAATTTTGTAGAACTACCGGCTGCAGCTCTGAAATTTATGCCAAAGCCTGTTTTTGTTCCTGATGTAGCACTGATTATGAATAGGTTCAATCCAGATAATTTGATGCACATTTTCCATGATGATCTCCTTCCAATTTTCTATACAATGCAGCAGTTCCCAGATTTGGACTTGGACACCAGATTGTTCTTCATGGAAGGCTGGGGTGAAGGACTACACTTTGAGCTATACAAATTGCTTAGCAACAAGCAACCACTCCTAAGAGAGCAGCTTAAAACACTTGGGCGGCTCCTGTGCTTCACCAAGTCATATGTAGGTCTGTCTAAAATCACAACCTGGTATCAATATGGTTTTGTTCAGCCCCAGGGGCCAAAAGCCAATATCCTGGTCTCTGGCAATGAGATCCGACAGTTCAAAACATTCATGATGAAGAGGCTAAATGTGAGTTTGGAAGGGATACCTGGTGAGGAATATATAATAGTATTCAGCCGAACCATCAATAGACTAATCCTAAATGAGGCAGAGCTAATTTTGGCACTTGCCCAAGAATTTCAGATGAAAACCATTACCGTTTCCATAGAAGACCATACATTTTCAGAAATAGTACACTTGATTAGCAATGCATCCATGCTTGTCAGCATGCATGGAGCTCAACTTGTGATGTCTCTCTTCCTGCCAAGAGGAGCCACTGTTGTGGAACTCTTCCCTTTTGCAATAAATCCTGAACATTATACCCCTTACAAGACATTATCTACCCTTCCTGGCATGGATCTTCAGTACATTTCATGGCAAAACACTGAAAAGGAGAATACTGTGACTTATCCAGACAGACCTTGGGATCAAGGAGGAATTGCCCACTTAGACAAAACAGAACAAGATCGCATTATAAAGAGCAATGAGGTTTCCCGGCACCTGTGTTGCCGCAACCCAGAATGGCTTTTCCGTATCTATCAGGACACCAAAATTAATATTGCTTCCCTTATCCAGATCATCAGGCAAACAGTGAAAACCAAACCAAGGCCTAAGAAGCAAAAGTGGACTAGTGGCCTCTATCCAGGCAAAGTTAGAGATGCTAAATGCCAAGCCTCTATCCAGGGTACCAGTGAAGCTAAGCTCTCTATATCTTGGCAGATCCCTTGGAATCTGAAATACTTGAAGGTCAGAGAAGTAAAATATGAAGTTTGGATTCAGGAGCAAGGAGAAAATACATACATGCCTTACATTTTGTCCCACCGAAACCATACATTTTCAGACAACATTAAACCATTCACGAACTATCTGGTGTGGATCCGATGCATTTTCAACAAAAATCTCCTTGGGCCCTTTGCAGATATGTTAGTTTGCAGCACATAATTGTTTTATAGCTACTAGCTTCAAAGAAGGCAAACCCAAGTTTGGGTCCTGTCATTTAAGAAGATGGACAAGAACTTGCCGACCATGATAGTGCCTACATGCCACTTTATTGCATTCTGAATGTCTTCTCTGTTCTGTGTAACATTACATTCAGTTAGTAGATAAACTCTCTTAATTATTTAAAGAGGCATGAGGCTACAAAATCGGAGTGGAATAATTGTTTTATCTTGATAGTTCTAGGAACTTTTCTGTCTCTCTTTTGTGTGGTAAATCTTTTAAATCTAGCTTTATACTGGAATTTGGTTATGTCACTGAATGTACAATTTTAAATTTATTTTTTTGTTTGTTTCCTAAAAGGTGTGTATTCCAGAGCAGAAATTTGGTTCCAGAATATTTATTAAATAGTTGAAAACCTATTCAAGCACCTCCTTATTTGTCTTTGATATTTATGCATTAAATAGAACTCTGTTCAATCTGAATAGGACATTTCCTCCAATGAAAGTCCTTTTTTGGTCATATGATCTAAAAGAGAGCTGTTAATAAGGAGTTTGAAAAAAATCCAGAAATCCTGCTCTGGTTGCTTTCCCTAAGTAATTTCTGTTTTATTGCTTTATATTCCTATTTTTGTAGTAGAGTATCTATTTTCCATAGCTCCAATGGTTGGATATTCTTTTTGTCCAAACTCAATGCCTAGGATGAACATCTGATAAAAAATATAAGATAAAGTCTATGAAGACAGTAGATCTTTGTTCATTAATATAACAATAAAACCCACCCTGTAAAGAAAACATGATGTTAACTATTGAGATATTTAAATGTTTAAATGGGTAGGAAATTTAGAAAGAATTGAGATGTCAGTCCAAGTGGCTATTTCTAACAAAAAGTGCAAGATTCTCACAGAATCTTCTTCAATCAAATGTTTTGAAAAGGGGAAAGTCACTGGAATCTTGGTAACTAGTCATATTTAGTTTAGTATCCAATTGAAGACTTCTTGGTCATCTTTTTAACCATCTATTGATACAGTAGGAGGTGGCTACCAGTTTCCCTGATGGACAGTATAGACGAAGCTTTGCAAAGAATCTTCCTGATTTTTATGCACTCCAAATCCCCTTAGCTTTAGCAAACAAAAGATTTTTGAGGGATTTTGAGTGTTCAAAAATATCTTGTGGCTGCAATTCCGCCTTTTCCTCACACAAGTACTGACTGGAAAAAAGTCATCCCAATGAGAGTGAATGGGAGGAGTGTCTTCTCTTTCCATTTGCACCTTCCCAGCACTAGATGATGAATAAATGAAAAGTAATTAATTCAGCATTTAAATTTAATGTACATTTAATATAGGGTGTGTAATAAGACTGCTGTCCTTTTTTCCTAATAGTGGTTCAGCAAGTAATTTATTCCACATCCCCTATAATATTGCCCTCAATCTTGTGTTACAATTATGAGATTCATCAAAAATTATGAAACCTATTCAAATTTTCTCATAGTGTTATTTGCAAAACTGTGCCATCTAAACATGTAGTGTTTGAGAAATCAAGGATTATCTCAGGTATATACCGTTGCTGTATCCATGTACTTCTATGAAGCTTCTTAAAATAACAATCAATTATAAATATATGTCAGTATTGTTTAGGGTTGTCCTCAAGGAATGATCAAAAACACTATCGTGATTGCAACAGTATGATTGAATCTGCCTTTTTATATGCTGGACACAGTGAAATTTTGATTGTACCATCATTGCTATCATCTTAACTTGTTTGACTCCTTCATGTTGATATTATGGGTTATATTGAATGGACTGTTGTCTGTAAAAAAGACACCTGAAGCCTCCCTGATTTGTTTGACCTTGAGATGATGTTTAATTAGAATGTTTAAAAACAGAAACATTAATAGAATATAATGTTTCTGTTGCTCCCCTCTGGGAGGAGGTTTCAAAGTATTTCTAGCAGGACTACCAGATTCCATAACCACTTTGTTCCCTATGCCATCTATCTACTAAACTCGCAAGATTCGTTTTTCTCGGCATGTATATGTATACATCTGAATTAGACTGTGCTGTTTCTCTGTTTCATATAGTATATGTGAGTATATGCATAACTTTGTATGTATGTATTTATTTATTTTATCATGTTTATGTAGTATATATTGGAGGCGGTGACCCTTTGAGAATTGTATGCAATGAAATTTCATTTTAATATATACCGATTAGTGTACATTGAAAGTGACAATAAAGTTATTCTATCTATCTAGAAGGTGTGGGGAAAATATAGGGCAGGGCAGAACAGCTGCATAGAAAATTGAGAGCTGTAACACAGAAGCAGGAAGAAAACTATTTCTGTAGTCCAAGTGTTGGGTAACCAGAGGATCACAGACAGTCTTCAGACATCCTGTTGGCACTGCTGACGGACAGTGCTGGGCAATAAAATTACCTGGAACAAAATGCTTCCTTTCCTTATTCTTAATATCTCGGAGCCAAATAATGCAAAAGCAAAGTAAAATAAAGCAAGGAGGGGAAGAGTAGGCTTCTAATGGCAGTAGATCAGGAGAGTAACCCAGAAGAAATAAATAACAATATTTACACATTGCTCCAATCTGCAATTCTGCAACATCCATAAGGTTGTCTTTCAACTTATATAAGCATTGGTGATGAATGGTAACAACACAAGAAATTGTTTGTGGAAAGAGAGCACCAGTGGGGAAAAAGTGATGAGAAGGTCAGGACTGAAAACAACATACATTTCTTTTCCAGATAGACCACTTCTTGCTATATTTCATTAGTTTGGAGATGCAGTTTCCCTAATTCATTTCTGGCTATTGAAACATCTAGTCTAGCTGTGCAGCTGTAGAAGAAATTCCTCAAGTGGCACCAGTAGAAATTCACAACAATTGTGCAAATATTGATCAATGCATTCATGTTCCTTTTTCAACTCAAACCTTTGGAGAACAATTGTTTTCCCACTATTCTTCCATTGTAATGGGCAGAGGTTTTTTTGGAGCTCATCTGTAAGAAACCTGTATGAAAGAAGATTCCAGTTGGCATTAAAGGGGTACACCACATGTTCATTGAAGGATAACAACATGCTTTAGGCTTTCATTCATGTTTTAGTACCTGTCAACTGATCATGTTAGGATTAATGATGTCAAATGAGAACTTACAGGTTAGGCCTTCTTTCTGATACAGTTTCAGAAAAATCTATCTCATATTACAGAAACTTTCTCTACTACCTATCTTTTCCATGAATTAGACTTTAGTGCCTATAATCTCCCAACTCAGTATGATATATTTCTGTGTGTGTCTGTGTGTGTATGTATATATGTGTATATGTATGTGTGTGTGTGTGTGTGTGTGTGTTTCCTCTAGCCAGGTTTTTCCTACGTAACCAAGGTTTTTCTGCAGCCCTAGCTCAGTAGAATCACATCCACTCGATTCTGGGCTTTTTTCTTTTCTGGCAACCAGCAAGTTCCAGTTGCCAGGTGGGAGACTTATATAGATCTATTTCCAGTTCGTTTGCTTTCATCAGTAAGCCACACCCACATCTTATGTATCCTTCCTGTAAAGGTATAGTATCTATTTTCTTACTTCTTCGTAGGATTTATGTGTGTTTTTCCTCTAGCCAGGCTTTTCCTATGTAACCAAGGTTTTTCTGCAGCCCTAGCTCAGTAGAATCACATCCACTCGATTCTGGGCTTTTTTCTTTTCTGGCAACCAGCAAGTTCCAGTTGCCAGCTGGGAGACTTGGTTGCTCATGTGCACACTCTTCTGCACATGCGCAGAAGCGTTTTGATGACGTTGGGGTAGGTGGGTGGAGCCTCCCACCGGTTTACTACCGGTTCTATAGAACCAGTCTGAACCAGGGGCAACCCACCACTGACACACACACATATACATACATACATGCATGCATGCATGCATGCATACATACATACATATACCCTGTTTCCCCCCAAATAAGACATCCCCTGATAATAGCCCAATCAGGCTTTTGAGTGCATTGCAATAAGGTCAAGTGCTTATTTCAAGGTTCAAAAAATATAAGACAGGGTCTTATTTTTGGGAAAACATGGTATATAAAAAGAGACAGACATCACGATCTCCAGAACTTAAAATATATCATCCACTTAGCTTTCGTTAGCCTCTGCTAACATCGTCAGTGTAAAAAGTGTAAAAACTATCATTGAAGTTTGCCTTTATGCATCATTGATCAATTTGGCCATTGCGTGCGTGATTGGCCCGTCCACCCACTTCCCACCTATAATTAGCTCTGTCTTTCTTACTTCAGGCATGTTAATCGATGGAGGCTTAACTGCTGTTTCTTCCTCCCCTATTGCACATTGCTTGGGCTGCCCATCTCCAGGGAATGATGTTGAGCTGTCAGATATTGCTTTAACGGCATTCTCTCCGGTCCCTTCCCACACACCACTGCTCCTCCACCTCACAGGTACATTTGATATTTCAATCAAATTCGTTTGTTGTTTTGCCCATGATCTTGTAACCAGTCCAGCTCGTTCCTCATTATCCATGTCTATTATGGCTTGGAGCTGTTCTGCTGGGCTTCTCGGCATTCGGCCTGGACTGGCTATGCCCCCACAGGACAAATCTACATGCCCAAAGGGTGGGGAGGTGTCATCAATCTCCCCGATAGAAATCGGTCTCTGCTCATCCTGCATGATCTTTCCCGGTGCCTCAATGCTTGGTAAGCCGGTAGCAGTTTGATGTGCCTATTGATGGAGTTATTGTTGGAAAACCAGGCTTGTTGGAAATAGACATCCCCCTTTAGTTGCATCACAAGCAACAACTTCAGCCTCTTGAAAATAGAACATGTGAGTGTGCTCCTTCATATGTGTCCAGATCTGGAAGCGTTGTTCTTTGCGCCAGACAACCAGTTCATGTTCATGCACTCTAGACTGTAGCCACTTAGCCGTTTCCCCTATGTAGTTGCTTGCACAGTTACTGCAGTTAATATGGTAAACCACAGAGGATGTCTCCTCTTTGGGTAATGTTTCTTTTGGGCACATCACTCTCATTCTCAGAGTTTGATCCGGTTTGTGTGCCACCTTGATCCCATGCACTGAAAGAATGTGTGCGGCAGTTTCGGATACCCCCTGTATATATGGGAGCGCCCTCCACACAGATGTTCCACTTGTACTCCCAATGGGCTGTTGGGCCCTAGGTGTGATACACCGTCAGATAAAGTCCGTAGAATAACCATTGAGCATGCAGATCTGATAGAGATGTGCCCGCTCCTTCTCTTTAGCCATTAGTGTGTTGCAATGGGTGTCTATCCTATTAAACAATGCCCGAATGCGCTAACTTTATGTGCAGTAGGGTGGTTGCTTTCATTGTGTAAAATGTGGCCCTTACTCATGATTTTTCAATACACACCTGTGTCAAGGCTCCCATCAGGAGCCTTGCACAT